CGTGAGACTGAAATATTTTCATAAAGTTTGGATTAAAACAGATTAGAATGAGCCCTCGCAGTCGTCTTAGTCGCACGGAAAAAAATGGTCGGTTGTGGCAACCAAAAGTCGATCGCTACGACCATTTCTCTCGGTAGATACCAGGACTATCGACTTTCTGATTGTGACAACCAAGCGGCATAGCTGCAGCAGGTTAGTTGCGACAGCCGACGGGTTGATCGTGGCGATCAGAACCGCTAATAGCAGGAATCGAACTTTACTGCGTTGTGGGGACTAGAGTCTTTTGACACCTCGTGGCTGCAGCTAAAAAGTTGATCGCTGTGATCGATTTGTCGTCTTGAAGGACATACTAATCTGACATCACTTGTTTTGTCTATTTTTTTTGCTAGAGGTTGTTATTGAAGGTTGAGATCAAGATTCTGCGATCCACTGAGGCTCGGCAAATATCAAAAATCGGCAAGTCATTTCAATCGTCTGATGGCGAATTTTAGACTGTCTCTTTTCAAAGTACAATGTACACGTCACTCGGGACACCCAGCAATGGAGGCGACCAAAGGCCTCACCGCGAGGTAACAGAAATATAAGCGTATCTTTGCAAATGAATAACAAATGGTTTTCAACCATTGAAATATAATTTCGAATGGTTGTTATCTTGCCGTAGGCAGGAGTTATTCACCTAAAATGGTCGCGGGTGAGATGAAATTAATGAAATAATCAGTCCGGGTTGCGGAAGGAGTGCTACTCTGCACGTGACTTGATTTCTACCGCTAGGTGGCGACAAGGCATGGTGGGCAACCCCTTTTCTCTCGCACGTTCCTGGAGTGTTCGTCGACCTAGGTAAACGGCGCCGGGTGATTGCCACGTCAAACCGACCTGAATGAGCAGAACCAAGCCAGATAGTAGGGCGACGTTTGATTACAGCGATCGAGCCGACCTAACAAAGCGAGTTGTAACACAACAACGAATTCAGCCGGCTGCCACAACCAAGCAGTTCGATGCTCACAACCAATTCACTCTCAATCAGGATAATCTGGTCACCACGACCAACCCTTTTTTTTCCGTGCGTTTCTTAGGCGTCGTCTTACATCCCTTCTCTCTCCTTTGCTCCTTTCTCTTTCCCCAGTCCGTGATCCCCAGCTTCCTCCACGTATCTTCCCCGTCCCTTCCTCACCACCTCCTCCTCCCCCTCTAACTCTTCCTCATCCCCGTACTACTCGTACACGTGACGGCGCGTCAGGAACTAGGCCGGGTGGCAGGTCGTCATCGTTAGCTGGGTCTTCAACTCTCTCTCCCTCTCTCTCTCTCTCCCCCTCTCTCTC